CAAGATACGCATGACAATCACAATCGATTAATCGTGCAGCCCTAGTAGCAAGGTTTTTTTTCAATTATATAATAAATAAAAAGAAAATAGATAGAATAGAAAAAGAATAGAGCAAGCTAGTGTTAGAGGCTTTTTTGTTTTTGTTAATTGTATAATAGAAAGAAACAGATAGAAAACAAAACGATTAGAAAAGCTTGTGTTAGTTTTTTTTTTTTTTAAGAGAACAAGCAGTAAATGAATATAGGCCTAGTGCAAGTCTAAAAAGTTTTTTTTCAAGAATAGAACTAGAGTGCTAGAGTTAGAGGATGAAAATAAATTTCAAGACGAGACCGTCTATAGCGAAGTGATGCTGTTATCTGATTGGCTTGAGTAGACGGTGGGTGGAGTCCACGTATTTGTGGATTGTCAGCACGTCTTGACCCAAGAAATGTTTCACAATTCGCAAATGCACAGGACGCGATTCACAAATAAATGCCATGCAAAGTTGTGGTTATGACATAAATATATATTTGTGAATATGTTTTTTATTTGCAAATCACATTTTATTTATTTGTGAATTTAATTCATGTTTGTGAAACTTTAAGATTTATTTGTGGATCTCATTCTATTTATTTGTCAATATGTTTAATGTTTGTTAATCTCTTTACATTTATTTAAGGATCGTAATCTATTTATTTGGAATTAAGCAACAATTATATCTCCATTCACAATTGCTGCTATCTCCATACACGTGCTGACTTCTTTTCTTTCGTAGTGATGTAGAAAACGAGCTACAAGCGAGTTTTCCTCAAAACAAGCTTTCCTCCGCTACATACAAAATACATTGATCTCAATGCGCTGGCGTCTGAGACAAGTCCGAAGGGACCTTCTGCAAAGTGTGAAACACGAAAAATGTTACTAATAAAATACTCAATAACTTCACAGTAACACGCTGTAGTGTAACCAAATAAAATTCACATATCACTGCTCTCCTGCTGGTTATTCTACAACACTTATTTTGACAATAATTGCTTTTGAATGATTTTTATGATTATTAAAAAGGAAAAATAGTCAATAACTTCACTGTAACACACTGTACTTTCTCCAAATTCAGTTCACACATCACTGCTCTCCTGCTGGTTATACTACAACACTTATTTTGAAAATAATTGCTTTTGAAGGGTTTTTATTATTTTTTTTTATATTTAATAAATTCACTGTTATTGGACAAAATAGTGAGTAACTTCACTGTAACACACTGTATTTTCTCCAAATTCAATTAACACATCACTGCTCTCCTGCTGGTTATACTACAACACTTATTTTGAAAATAATTGCGTTTGAATGATTTTTATGATTTTTTAAAAATATTTAATAAATTCACTGTTATTGGACAAAATAGTCAATAACTTCACTGTAACAAACTGTACTTTCTCCAAATTCAGATCACACATCACTGCTCTCCTGCTGGTTATACTACAACAGTTATTTTGAAAATAATTGCTTTTGAATGATTTTTATTATTATTTTTTTATATTTAATAAATTCACTTATTGGACAAAATAGTCAATAACTTCACTGTAATACACTGTATTTTCTCCAAATTCAATTAACACATCACTGCTCTCCTGCTGGTTATACTACAACAGTTATTTTGAAAATAATTGCGTTTGAATGATTTTTATGATTTTTTAAAATATTTAATAAATTCACTGTTATTGGACAAAATAGTCAATAACTTCACTGTAACAAACTGTACTTTCTCCAAATTCAGATCACGCATCACTGCTCTCCTGCTGGTTATACTACAACAGATATTTTGAAAATAATTGCTTTTGAATGATTTTCATGATTTTTAAAAATATTTAATAAATTCATTGTAATTGGACAAAATAGTCAGTAACTTCACTGTAACACACTGTACTTTCTCCAAATTCAGTTCACACATCACTTCTCTCCTGCCTGTTATACTACAACACTTATTTAGAAAAAAATTGCTTCTGCATATTTTTTATGATTATTTAAAATGAAATTTTGTCCAATAACAGTGAATTTATTAAATATTTACTACAACAGTTATTTTGAAAATAATTGCTTTTGAATGATTTTCATGATTTTTAAAAATATTTAATAAATTCATTGTAATTGGACAAAATAGTCAGTAACTTCACTGTAACACACTGTACTTTCTCCAAATTCAGTTCACACATCACTGCTCTCCTGCTAGTTATACTACAACAGTTATTTTGAAAATAATTGCTTTTGAATGATTTTTATGATTTTTTTTTTATATTTACTAAATTCACTGTTATTTGACAAAATAGTCAATAACTTCACTGTAACACACTGTACTGTCTCCAAATTCAGATCACACATCACTGCTCTCCTGCTGGTTATACTACAACAGTTATTTGGACAATAATTGCTTTTGAATGATTTTCATTATTTAAAAAAAAAGATTTAATAAATTCACTGTAATTGGACAAAATAGAACGCTAATCTAACATATAAGCCTAAATATAAACTATAAATGTTTACGAATCACTCAGGATACCTGAACGCCAGAAAACTACTAATTGGCCAAAATGCTTCGTTTGACTTTTCGGAGATCATCTGCTCTTCCCTGTGGATTACCCCTGACCTACTTTCTGTACGATCTGAATTTCTGCGTCCTGAATTTTAGAATATTGAATTTGATGTTCCGAATTTCCTCTTCATCTTGAAAACATGAAGCTGTATTTTTAAAAACTGGATATTTTCAGTCAAAGAATTCAGAACAAAAAAGTCGCTGTTTGAAAATACGTCTATAAAATTCAGTTGTGTTCAATTTCAAATGTTCAATATTCAAGTAAAAAAAAAAAATCAAATTCAGAACTGTTAAATGCCACATAATATTCAGTTTTGATAAATGCCACTTGTCAATAATTCAAATTTATACAATACAAATTAAAATAGTTTTGTCATATTATAAGCTCCATATTCATGAAAGTAGCCGGTTTGCAATCTTCCTGCAGTCCGTGCGCTCTGCCGGTGTTACAAGATCATTTCGAGGAAGCACAACGATGGGCGGGGCTTCCATTCAAAACATTGAAGCCACATTGAGCTTGTAACCAATCAAGAGCGCTGCACTCAGGACATGTAGCCAACCATTTGCTTTGTGTTCATTTTAGCGCCCGCACACAGGAAGTAAGTGCGCGAGACTGTCCCAGATCTTAAAAACGGCAAAGTGCAATGCCCTTAACGCACACTAAATCCACACTATCTCGAATACCGCTCCGGAGCGCTACTCGAGGCTTAGTGTATCCCATCATGCATCATATTCTGGAAATAAATCGTTAGACTTCTTGCAGAGATCTCGCGAGAGGTCACGGAAACCTTTCCAATGCAAGTTAAATATTAATATAATAATTAGATATTACATAGAATTTGGTAGAAAAACAGTGTTTTTACGTTTTATCGGTGCAAAGATGAGTAGTGGCACTAAACGACTTGGCACAAGCTGATTGGTTCATGCTGCATATGCAGCCAATGAGCTTACTGCCTTGCATTTATATGGCTGGCTAGCATTCACTTGAGATTCCTGCAGCGCGCTTTCAGAGTTTCTCTGAAAACCTCCACCTTCCCCAGCTCCACCTGTATAGATCTGCTACGGACGGGGTTACTTTACATAGACCCTGTGCAATTTCCGGCACCTGAACCGTGAAGACGTCACAATTTAAAATTCTGCATATATCCTGTCATAATTTATCCTGCTCATTCATATGTGTACACACACACACACACACACACACACACACACACACACACACACACACACACACACACTCACTCCTTTCTTAATTAAACACACAAGACAAGGGAACGGTCTTTATGTCTTTATGTACTATCTTTAATAAACATCCATTACAGCAGTTATTAAAATATACCTCTCTCTACAGCTAAAAACAAACCCAGGCATAGGTCCATTTATTTTTTACAGGCACTAATTCTTGAGCTCTGTAAAGAGCATGTAAACCATTTAAAAACACTGAACATCAAAACTGTACTGCGATATTGCAGAAATGCTGGAAGCTTGAGATGGAAGTCTCAAGATGATTCAAGATTCATTTTAAGTGTGGATTCTAATGCATAGTCATTCAAACACAAGGCTTGTTTTCAGGCACCTTGGCTCAGCAGCAAGAGCAAAAACAAATGTACACATATCAATCAGCAGTTAAATAAGCAGCTCTAAAACAGCTTTAAAATGGAGGTCCATGATCTCTATACATTCTTACACTGTTCAGCTTTAATGCATCTGCTAAAAGGCAGAGTTTAAATAAAAGCATTTTTCTACACTTCAATCAAATGTTCAGTGGCAAAATTGCATGTGACCGAGAGAACCTGAGAGGACCAGCCTTCTAAAGGAACACGGGCTGATCTAGGCCAGTCAGGAGACGGTACGTTGATGTCGGCATAGTCTTCAGATGAATCTGTTACAAATCAGAGAAAAACAATTATGACTACTTTAAAGTTGACACGATGGGCGCCACTATCTATTTTCTAAATGCATGTTATAGCTCTTATTGAGAACAATTCGTCCAAGTAATTGGAATGTCATAACATCTTTTGAGTGTAAAAGACAAGACTCTTCTCTGGTGATGTATGGCGACTTCTCCTATCATTTAATCGGCTTGAACCCACCCCTGCAAGCTCAAGTTAATCTGTCTCCATTTTTGAGTGCAATGCTCACATCTCATAATCAGCAACTGATGCACAGAACCAAGTCAATGTCCTACATTTTTTATTTTTAGATTATCCGCTTTCTGACCCTCCACAGACAGCGACGCAACTACCACGTTCAAGGCCCAGAAAGATAGTAAGGACATCGTTAAAGTAGTCCATGTGACATCAGTGGTTCAACCTTCATTTTATGAAGCTATGAGAATACTTTTTGTTTGCAAAGAACACAAAAGTAATGCCTTTATTTAACAACTCCTTCTCTTCAGTGTTAGTCTTTGAAGCGCGTTCTGGAGAGTAACATGGGGCATACATGTGCTGCTGACGCAGGTGCTGGTGTCCTGACATTTTATCCAACCGGTCAGACTGTCCTACCAGGGCTTACTGCGCATGCACACATCAATATTGCATCCTTTTTCTCACACTGAACAATAATTACTGTATTTGCATTACTGTAAGGGGTAGGTTTAGGGTTGGGGTAGGTGTAGACATTAATAAAACACTATCTACTAGGTAGAACAATTTATTTATTGTTGGTTTCCGGTCGTAGCTGTATCCCTTCTAGCCACAACTGCGAATAACACATAATTACTGTACGGGTAGGTTTAGGGTTGGGGTAGGTGTAGACGTTAATAATCCATAATTTGACAGCTAGAATTTTTCATTGTACTACCTACTGTTTTAATGGGAGGTAGCTAAATCTGACAGGGTAGCACAAATCGACAGAACACCCAGATGCGCTGCGCCTTGTTTACAAGCAGAAGACGACACATACTGTACACGTCGTATATGTCGTAAGCATGTCTGAAGATTTCAACAGAGAGGATAACTTGCAGTTTTTTGCCCAGCCTTACTTATTTGAGATGGACAATCTACGTCAGAATGCAACTTCTGCGTCAGCAACATCACACACATACGGCATTGTACTCTCGTGAACATGCATTGAAGACTGACATGGAAGAGAAGAAAGCGTTGAATAAGGTCCTTATTTTTGTTTTCTTTGCGCACAAAAAGTATTCTCGTAGCTTCGAAAAATTACGGTTGACCCACTGCTGTCACATGGACTATTTTATCAATGTCCTTACTACCTTTCTGGGCTATGAACGTGGTAGTCTATGCAGGGCTAGAAAGCTCTCGAATTTCATCAAAAATATCTTAATTTGTGTTCTGAAGATGAACGAAGGTCTTACTGGTTTAGAACGACATGAGAGTGAGTAATTAATGACAGAATTTTCATTTTTGGGTGAACTATCACTTAATGTACTATGTACTATGTAGACTTCAATAACCAGAAAAAAGAAATACTATGATAGTTTTCACCAGTAAAGATCTTGATTCAAGTTTGTTTTGTTTCATGTAGCATGAACAGAAATTAAAAAAACAAGATCCAAACCACATCCATATATAGCTTGAAATCTTATTAATAAATATATAGTTCAGTCATGAAACTCTAGATGGCGCAGGCTAACGGGTTGTTAATGTAACTGATGATATTCAGAGAGTTAAACGACTTGGCACAAGCTGATTGGTTCATGCTGCATATGCAGCCAATGAGCTTACTGCCTTGCATTT